ATAACACCTGAGAGATGTTGATTATAAACTTGATGTGCTTAAAATAAATTTGTTTGTCGAAGCCATCGGTGTATGATAGATTGAAAGCACCCGTGATGCCTTCCCTAAATTTCTGCATTTTGGAACTTTAGCGAAAGATTTAACTTCGTTCCAGTGACTGCGTCACTGTTCCAAACTCCGACTAACTAGACCAAAGTGCTTATTGGTTTTCCCTCTTAGCTTAAGAATATCACCACTTGGTCAAACAAAGGGGAAGAGTATTATACTATATCCTTGTCCTTAAAGAAAATAATTTTTCTCAGAAAATTCCTTCTTCTTTTGCAAACCAAATTTTTTTGAGATATACATTTTTTCTCGGTAAAAGAATATATAGCTGTAATATTATAGACAAACGTTATAGGTATTGTAATTATTGTAATTCTTTAAATAATATTCTGAGAAATTTTAAAAGTAAAAAAAAGAGAAAACAGCATTTATATTTCAACTTATTATCTATTACTGCATATTATTTTTACACTCTCTAAGCAATAATTTTAAGAATGCATCCGAGATTAAAGCATTAGTCATAACGTTGGAATAGTGGTAATAAAATTTCTGTTTTCCCCTATTAAGACGAGGATACTCTCACTGCATTCAACTCTACTTAATTACAGTGCAATCGATCAATTATCATTAGTCGACGTTTCTAAAATCTTGACTCCATGGAAGAGCACTGCATTAAATAAATAATAAGCAACGAGTTAAAAGAAATTAGGAAGACGAAGATATATATTGGGATAAAATATCATTACAGACAAAAGAGGAAATAAAAATGCAGATAAACACATTATCAATTTCAATAATGTAATCGTACATGTTCGAAATTTGTATGAAAAAAAAATCTGAATCGCTTTGCGTTTGAAGTGATAAACTCATACTTCTTCTATTGAAGAAAACAAGATAAATTTAAAAGTAAAATCAATTACAAAAGAGAAGAAAAAGGAGGAAGGCTCGATATCGTTTGGAAACAAAGCTCAGACAACGTTACAGTAATATAAATCGCTGAACAGTCGTCCGACCGACAACAATAGCGATAAATAATCCGCGAGAAGTAATCGTGGCAAAAAGAGGGAGAAATATGATCGGAGCTTTACGAAGGGGAGGATCATCTCCGGACGACGACGTGAAGCTTTCGTCGTCGTCGTCGTCGTTGTCGTCGTCATCCTCGGCGTTCTCGGCGGTGGCAGCGGTGGAAGTGGCGGTCGATGCCACGAAATGCCGTCGTTGGCGCTGACGTCGGGAAAATAAGCTCGTCCGAAAGCTCTACCGACTGCAGTAGCCCGGCATTCGTCGGCGCCGCGGCCAGGACGAAAGCTTCGCTCGCACGTGCGCGGTGACTTTGTCAGGAAACCTGCCGATGAAAGCTCGTCGCTGAAAGCGTTCGCTATGTGGACCCCGTCGTGATCCACGAAAGTCGCGGAAACGATATTATTTGTTTCTTTATATATATATATATATATATATATATATATCTCCCTTATTACCCTGTCCCTTTCGCACCCCTATCCCTATATCAACCCTTACGGCGAACGACTCGGGCGTCGTGACGAAAGCGTCGCGGTGATTTGCGGGGTCAAATGTGCACGGTGGACAATAGTGTGACATAGTGAGCGGAAGTAGGAGACGAAGAAGAGACCGGCAGGAGGGCAGAGGAGCCGAGGAACGCGGGAAGAAAAGCGGGAGGTGGTGGATGACGATGAGAGGGCACAGGAAGAGGGTGCCGAGCCCTGATGCACTCGCATCTTCTACGTAGAGGGTACCGTTACATCGACCTCGAGGAGAGAGGGGATGCGATCGAGTTTTCTTTGCGTGACACGCTCCGATCGAGTCTCTTGGGGTTGAGACTGTCTGAGATCCAACAATGCCTGAGGCGTCTTGAAATGGAACCGCTCGAGAATCGAGCGAAATATCGCGGATCTCAAGTCAAGGGGTCTCTAAATTCTTCAAAACGAGTCGAATCAAACCCATTTGAAAATTCAGAGTGTCATATCAAACATACGTATACTTTGCCTCTGTGGGGTAAGTTGGTACCCCGCAGTGAGAAAGTTTCTAGAACCGAGTAGTGTCCAAGTTTCAAGTGTCTTTGAAAAATTCCTTCCTTATTAATTATTTTTTTAGATGCTAGAGGGTTTTAGAATTATCTTTTAATATGTTGCAAAGTTATCTTTACAACAAGTGAGAATTATATATAAAAGACTCCCTTAATATAAATCTCTTGAAACGTATATATGCCACTAAAGAGAAGCGAAAAAGATATTACGTAAATGAATTTTTTGTAAAGTCAACGATTAGCATTTAAAGTATATTCCTTTAAAAAATCTCACGCTATATTATTTTTATATTTCTATTACACTTTATATATTTGGTTTTTTATAATTATTTTGTATTGATATTGCAACCATCGGGGAATCAAATGAGAGATATGTTTTAATACAATTTTTTATTGTTTTTTTATCAATGATTTTTGAATAAACTTCACGTTTGTTATTCATTCCTTTCGTGCTGTAAAAATTGCATTAGAGGGTAGGTTAGATAGCTCATGCTATACAATAGGGTATAACCCACAACGTAAATCATGTATTAGAAGCGCAGCGAGCTTAAGAAAAGGTTGTATTAATGCAACACTCTTGTGCATGTCGTCTATAAAAATTGAAAGACGAAGAGCACTGAAGAAATTTTATACACGTGTAAATTTATAACTAGCAAAAATTTCATTACATTTTATCGTCACACATATAATTATCTTGTGAATTAATTATAAAATTAAAAAATGAAATAATAAAATTACTCCAGATTATTTTTTCTGAATAAAGAAACATTAAAATTGCTATTAATAGGTCAATTTATTTTATATTTTTTCATTATCTTGTTGTTTCAACTCATTTCATAACATATGCATTTTCTTAATTACTTTCGTCCTTTTATCTTTGAATGAAATGTATAAATATAATTTATTGTTAATAACAAAGGATCAACTACGCAGGTGGGTAGTTATCTTCAAGCGTTTGTACGAAGGACGCGATATAAAGTCTTTAATCTCTTCGATTAAACGTCTCCACGTGGACTCACATAAACTTGCTTAAAGTTTGATATAACTTTTATCCTTATCGACCTTCGCATAACGCATATATATGTGTGACTGTAATCTATATAAATAAAAATCCAATACTGCAAAGCAATATTTTAGATCTCGGAGGATAAATCTTAACAACGATCGTTTTTAAGATATCAGAAGATCCGGTAGAAAATTGCGTCACAAATCCTCTTCGATGTTCAAGCAATTTGATGAGCAGACTTATCTTGATATTAAAGGCTTTAAAGCTATTTCAAGGAGCAGAAAATTTCGTCCCTTTAATTCTCTCGCGCGCGTGTTGTTTTATATATATATATTATATAATATAATATATAATTTACTCAAATATGTAATCAAGTCAATGCTAATGTAATCAAATGCTATATAAATGAGAATATAATTTAACATAATTAATAATCCATAAGTTAATTATATATAAACGATATAAAACTATGAAGTCACCAGATGATAATTAAAAAATGGTAATAATTCAATCAACCAACTCTGGCAAATACATAATTTTATTGAATATTCACAACGTTTCGGCCGTGGGTTTCGGCCCTTATCAAGTGTTAAATCACAACTTTTTTAAAAAATCATGTAATTCATTATATCATGTCATATTCTAAGATCGAATTTTTGTTTTTTAAAAAAGTTGTGATTTAGCACTTGATAAGGGCCGAAACCCACGGCCGAAACGTTGTGAATATTCAATAAAATTCTGTATTTGCCAGAGTTGGTCGATTGAATTATTACCATTTTTTAATTACATATGTAAATATAAAAATAGATACAGTTTCTCAATAAAATAGGATCAATAATGTGTGATAAAACTAAAATATCTGTTTGCAACAAGAATTCGATGAGAATTGATTAATATGGCAAAGTTTCAAATGGGGTATTGTTTCTTCTCGTTTATCTATAACGAGAATCGTACGATCTCACATCATTGTGCCGAAAGCCGATAGTGAGAGAGTCGTAGTCCAAGTTGGAAACGCGTAGACAAAACGTAATTGTTCGACACTTCACTTCCTGCAATAACCTTTGTTGAAATTAAAGAGGTCCTATGACACCATTGTACTATGATAAACTCAATTCGTGAAATTTCTAATGATCAGTTTTAATAATATTAATAATATTCGTATTGTCTATTACAACAAACGGAACGCAATCTATCGTTGCGAATCATTATATAAAATATTGATTTTTCAATAAAAATAATGATTGCGAAAATGGCCCTAATCATTGATCGTTACGCTCTGTAACTAGGATAAAAATGTTAGCCACATATTGCTAACGGTATTGATTTTGTCTATCTCTCCATTGCCATTTACAGGCCCTAGAAACATTGTCCATCAAAGGATAAAATAGATTCTATGTGAGACAACATCGCATAACCCTTAGATAATATAAAAAGTTATATCCTTTTATCCATTCGACCGAATATAGTGGGAAAAGAGAGAAAAAAGTATCGATGTGGCGTACGTCACTTAAAACGATCAAGATAAATGGTTTTCGTTGCACAATGCCTACAAACACACCTCAGCTCTAACAGAAAAGGAACCCCTGGGGAATCTCTATGACAGAAATCATCTCCAAGATGATTTTCCGCGATATTTTTCGGAGCGCACGTGCAAAGAAAGCTCGAGTCTCAGGAATGCGGAAAAGAAAAACTGGAGAATTGCCCACAGATCTCGTTCCGTCTCTTCGACGTCCGACGTGACGAGCAGCGAGCACGCCAAGGACGACGACGACGACGACGACGACGACGACGACGACGACGACGACGACGACGACGACGACGACGACGACGACGACGACGACGACGACGACGACGACGACGACGACGACGACGACGACGACGACGACGACGACGACGACGACGACGACGACGACGACCACGACGACGACAACAACAACGGCGACGACGTCGCTTAGAAGCCTCCAGCACGAAACCAGCACTGCCGTTTGTTCTCCGAGATGGCGGACGAAAAGGAGAAGCAGACGTTCCTGCAGAAGCTGCTGTTCTATACGACCGCGTTCTTCATCCTCCTCAGCACCTTCAGCCTCTTCGCCTTCCTCTTCTTGGTCCCCTTCGTTATCGACCCTGCCTTCACCACCATCTTCATGCAGTTTAACACTCGACCTGTCGAGTGTATCACCATCGACGTTGAATCTAGAAGAGGTGAACAATCGACACCTTTAATTTCACCGTTCGTTCTCGTTGTCAATTATTCTCGTTGCATGTACTGTAAAATCTCTATTCTTCTTCGCACCTCGTTTCCTGAGGTTCTTACTCCGCGCGCGATTGACGATGTACAGTTCGATATTCTATATTTCTTTCCCATTGCTCAGCTTGTACATTCAAGCATGTATGTTTGTTGGTATGAACGTATATACTTCATTCTGCGCTTGTATGTGTGATGGAGAATCGGTCTTTTAATTGCAAAGAAAAATTGCATCCACAAATAGCATTTAATCATTTTAAAAAGCAAATATTAGATATAATTTTTTTAAATATGAAATAAATTAATTTAGTTGAAATGTTATTAGTAAAAATAACAGATTCTTTTGTCCAAAAAAGAGATCTTAAATATATTATGACTTCATAAAATATTTCATCATCAAAAGTGACGGACAATGATAGACAGACACCAGAAACTGATGTAAATTTCCATTTCCAGAATTAGGTCAGCGTCAAAATATGCAATTCTCATGAACGATTGGAAAGGCTATTTCCAGATTGAATGAAAGTGACGAAGAACATCTATGAGACAGTTGACATATTCTCTCTTGTTTAATATTCATCATATCATTATATATATATATAGTTGCTATAGAAGAAGCAATCGTTTCTATCTTTTATTAATAAAGCTTCGGGAATATTCCGCGTGGATGATTATGAAAATAATTTCGCTCCGGTTGTAATCAGGATATTAAAGAAAATAATATTATATTAAAGAAAATTACTTCATCCATTTTTTGTCATCTGGAAAGACGCTTCCCAAACTCTATTTAGCTCGTAATAAAAATTTTACGGAGATTATAAAAACCCAATAAATTTTTATTTTTCGATGACATATATATATACTTTCCGTGTCATGTCATCTGTGACATATACGGAAGCACGAGATATGAAAATTTAATACAATATTATAACAATATTGGACAGGACGGATTGAAACACGCGTTAATTACTCAAAAACTTGATTCTGAATAACTATAATTAAATTTCGATATTATGTGAATTGTAAGAATTTATATTTCAATAATTATACTGTCGAAACGTTTATAGAATGATTGTAATTTGCGTTAGTTTTAATATAATGACTGTAGTTTTATAATTTATACATGTAATAAATGGTAGTTGACTGAACATCTCGAATATTCAGCTCGATAAGTTGGCCTTATATTTATCACTTTGTTTTCAATATACGAGCGACAATTGTATTAATTTATTTACAATATTATAAATTTTAATTTACCGATATGAGTGGACATTATTGATCGCGATATAAAACGAAAATATAACTTGTTTTTATGATTTAAAATATTCTTATTTTACATATGATCAATAAATCTTTTCCAATTGTTATCAATTTTTATGAATCGCGTTTATAAATACTAACAATAACTATTATTAGTCGAGATTTGACTCTTTGATTTCTATCTGGAAACAAGATAGTAGTTGCGTTCGCAGAAATAATTTTCGAAAATAAAATGTAAAGATGTACTATAAAAAATTAGAGCAATTAAAAATATTGCTATACAGAATTATCAGAAGGGGAGACACTGTAGAGAATCGTGATAAGATCGACGCAACTGGTGTCTTCGTGCTCTTTCGGTACCCCGTTCTTATTCGAAGTCCCCTTCATTCCTCCTTTGCTTCAATTCTCATCTCCCACGAACGTCAATAGACTGCAGGTGTTCTATACGATTGAGCACCAGTGCAGTCAATATCCCTGCAAGTTACATCACATAATGCAAAACACTTCTTGACGCGGTTCAATTTCTTATTCCGATACTTTCTGCTTTCGCGCCATCTTCCTCACTCTTCGTCTCGTGCATGCACATTTTCCACCTTCACACGTGATCTATTCTCTTGCATTGTATGTCTGTATGCGCGTATATATATTTTTTGGAATAGATTGATATTTGAGTCATCGAGGTTGCCCTTTCATTTAAACGTCAACGTCAATGACAGATGGTGAGAGAGTTTCCAAGAATCGATAAATCAATAATTATTTCGAACATCGATCAATCTTTCTTGACGAAAGTTACATATAATGCTTGTCGATGCACTTTTGCAAGCTTCAAGGATCAAGAATCTCGCGAGTTTCCAAGTTAAAGATTCGCTCCGCGCTATCTTGCTGTTAATTATTGATGTCTCAATCACTTTTACAATATACGCTATATGTATGTGTGTGTATGTGTCTATATGTATGCGGACATTTCTCATTCTCTATCACGTTCACGCAAAGTCGAGTGTGTGTTCGATGTATCGATATGATGTATCCGCTTGAATAATATTTCGCGGCTGAATCCCCATGAATGATCGTTGAGTTCAGGTACGAGCAATTGCTCATGGACATCCTGTAGAGAGGGTTGCACTAAGGAGTTGTACGATTGTACGCAAATACGCGTCAACTATAAGCTACCGGAAAACGGAACTGAAGGATCGGATGGGGAAGGCGAAGTGGTAGGAGGTGTCGAGGACGACGAAGAGAGTAAGCGGACGATGTCGCGTTACGAGCGCTCTTTAGGCGAATACGTCGAGGACCTCGATGTGAATCTCGTGGACGACGAAACCGGACTCTTGAAACCTTCCCCTACAGGTACAAAATGATACCGTTAAACAAATCAATGTTTATCGCGCGTCTAATCGATTCTCCCCCATTTCTATTTCGTTCATATCTGTCTTTGAACACGCGTTTACACGATTAAAGCAAATTAAAAATATAAATAAAATATAAAAGAACTTTAATTGTATATGATTGATGTTATACACATACTTTTGAAAGTCGTTTACGCCGTAATACTATAAAAGATAAAATTATAAAATGTTATTCGATTAATCAATTAAAATACCAAAATAAAAATAATACAATTATACAATTATGAAATAATATATAATATATATAATAAACATAAAATAATATATACAATATTATAAATACTTTTGTATTTTTAGCATTTTGTTAGCATTATTGGAATTGCTGTTGAAAAACCTTTACTCTCGTAATTATTCCGATTGACTCCGTATAAAAAAAAAAAAACCGCTTTGCCAGAAACAGATATGGGCTTAATGGATTTAATGGACAGAGAGTTAAAACTAGTGGTCCTACGGGAGAGATAATTTTTGTCGAGCCCCCGAAAAACCTTTATGATTTGTCGCTGAAATATCGGAGCGTACTATATTCAGAAATTATTATACGCGATTTCTCTCTCTCTCTCTCTCTCCATGCAAGTTTGTTTCTCCGGTTCTCGTCGCCGAACAATAACGAGGGGAAGTTCGCAGGTTTCATGGTCAACGACTCCTGGTACTTCACCGGGGCCAAGCTGTTCCCCAACGTAAAAGGCTGTGGATACCCTCCAATGCTGAATTGCAGTATTTTCTACCGGCAGTACGCCAACATAGGGCAGAACTTTAGCTGTTACTACTCGAAAGTGGACCCCGGGATAGTCATCAGCGACCTCGACATGTGGCAGGTCTCTGAGATATTGTAACACTTTCCACATGCGCGGGATTCCTTAATCCCCGTCTCCCTGTCTCTCTCTCTCTCTCTCTCTCTCTCTCTCTCTCTTAATTAGTGATTCTAACTCGTACAAATTCCTGTCATCCCTCGCGTCGCAATGACATCCGTCAGACTGACGTGATCTTTAGCTCTCGCGATATAATCCAGTGACCGAGTTATTACAGTCGGCGATTCGCTCCGTATCTGCATCGGTATGTGCGAGTCACGCGAAAGTGCTATGTGACTTTTGCCCGAGTTTATGCCGGAACGAACGTGCACTTGAGAATCGATACCGCGGCTATGCCTATCGGGAACAGACCGCGTACTACGGTCGAAACTGCTTCATACATGAAATAATTAAATAGACCACAGTGAGATGGATCCCGTATCGGCTCTAAATAATTGGAACACGAGGCGAACTTACTCACCCGATTCTCGCTTTGATCGCGACACCGTATCGCAAACGAGTCTCGCATTTGTTTCCGCGGTGAATCTTTTTCCCCCTTTTTTTTTGATTGAACGTGAAATACATTTATTTCTCTTCCGAAAATTGAATTCGCGAATTATTACACTGTTATCGATCTCCGCTATCACGTGCGAAATATGTAAACAATCGGGCGAAAGGAGATTTTTCCGAGCGTGAAGTACGACGAAGTGGCGTTACGGGGACGGAAATGCGATCGTCCGCACGAGAGACAGACAATGCGTCTCAAGCGGTTGAATGGGCGACCGATGACAAAGACGGAAACCATCGCGGTACACCGTCCGGAAGAAAGGAAAATTTCTCCCGGCGCAGAGAAATCCAATTTCCACGAGTGCGCGGTCGGCGAGCTATTATAAAGCGCCGATATAACATCGGCGATCTTGGGAAGGCCCGCCGACGCGCCCTCGAGATGCTGCACGAGTATTGCCAATCCTTTTGAGCGAATGGACGACAGGAAGAAATGGAATTACGTGTCGCGAATAACATCGCTTTGTGGGTTTTCGATTTTTCCCGAATTTGCGGGAGAGCGCATTTCGCGCTAGCCTCTTTTGTATTTTTCGAATGAGATCGCTGTAAAGACAGCGAGATGCATTTGTTAATTATATAGAAAAATATTTGTAAATTAATTAGAGAGATTGAGAATAATATGTTGAATCGTTTCTCACAATATAAATACCTATTGCCTCTGATGCAACTGACTGTCTGACCATATATTGCCTGTTACTACTTACAACTACGCACAATTCTATTATTCGCCATCACTATATATTTTCATTATTATTCAGGAAATAATATTAATTTTTTGCGACCTTGATTTGCAATTAAAGTAATTTTATAACGGAAAGGAGAGGGAATACGTGTTCTTTATATATATACATATCCAAAAGATTAACAGCTATAATATGGACACTCGACGTGTGTCGTAAAAAATGTTTCCAATTAAATCTTCCGGTGAAAATTGATTCACGAGATGCGTATAAGTTTGCATCAAAGTCCAATCATCATATATTTGAAACGCTTCCTCAGGTATACATGAACCTTGTGTACGCGATGGCAATTCCGATACCATCTTTCATAATCTCGGTGATATACCTCACCATCGCCTACTTCAAGATCTACAACGAAGACGAGGAAGTCCTCGTACATGGCGAAGAGGGTGAGGAAGGGAAGGAAGGGGACGAGGGTGATGACGGTACACCCTTGCCGCCCACTAGTGGTGCATTGACGCCCGGAAGTGAAGCCTTCAGGGAGGATCTAGCGAGCTTCGGGCATCAACTCAAGGTCGCGATGGCCGACGACATCAGCAGGGAAAGTCTAGATGAGATTCCCTCGCTTTCTGTTCAGGGGTAAGCACTGTTTGGAAAATGTAATTATCGATTATCTCTTGAGAGGAACACGTGTCTGACGCAAAGAGGTTGTTCAGCTTCGTTATTTTACTTATATATCTTGACCGTGTTGATATCGACTTTTAGTTTCCCGTAAACTTTCATAAGGCTTCCAGAAAGCTTTCTAAGTCGATTTAAATAGGCTCTCACAATCGCTTTAAACCGCAAACACTCGAACAATTTAGAATTATTTTCTAAGAACGATAATCCCGTCTGAGCCCTCTGAGTTACTTTTGCGCAATCTTTATTGGCTAGAAATATATAAAAGAAACGTAATATAAACGTAATATTAACACGCAAATAATAAACTTTAATATAGAAAAGTATCTTTTCGTTCTCGTATCGTATCGTTTCTTGCCCGTCATTCTGATTGACGAGAAAGGTATTTATATCGTCGTAACATTAATTTAATTTAAATGTTTTGTAAAGTCAAATGCAATAATTTTACGCCAGACATAAAGTTGTCTGAATGAATACAACGAGAATAGCACGCTGCGTGTGTAAATGTCATTTTGTAATCTGCACGATTTATACATTCGTGTATGACGTTTGGCATGTGTGATTATTTAGTCAATTTCTCTCGTGATTTGCGACAAGAGAATCATAGGGTGTTTCGAGTGATCTACATAAGTGAGCAAACATTATTTTGGCATTACTATTCTATATAAAATTGATTAATGTTTCGAATAATCGGATTGACATGCATATCAGCTGTCCGGGAACAGTTCGAGATATTCATATATATCTGTGCAGCTTTATATATCTCAGTTTAGAGAAATATATTATTGACAATAACAAGTGCAATGTATATTTTATCAATGCCGATATTGACATTTTGAGGGCATTGTACGTAAAGATGTTTACTATGGACGTGCACCTCTTCAGTGTGACAAGCTACTTCAGTTATAATCATTTTATTTAATGCATAAATGATAGAAGTAGCGAGCCTGGCATGAAATTTTCGTATAACAATATACAATCATGCTCATACTTTAAATCCCATCACATTCCACGCAAAATACATGTGACTTGAAAAAATTGAACGTATCGTATACGAAATATTGTATTTGTCAGATCGTTGACATTTTCATTGACAGTTCACTCGTTGTTCTACGTTGCTACGTTATATATCCCGGCATGATCCGAATTGGGATTAATCACACCGCGCATTCTAAAGCACCAATATCCGGACGAATCGATTACAATAATCCTGGAGGATGTACAATATTGTCCAATAATATCCAATGACCGACGAGAATTTCAAACTGTAGCAATTCGAATGTCCGATGCGACATGCCTGAATGCTTTCGATCTTGAAGATGATCGAATGTCGCTTTCGTCATGATTGCAGAATAGAGATAGCATAAATTGCGCGGGGAGATCAAATAATTCATGAATTCTGTACGTGGTGTTCGATAAGTCGTGACGGGATTACGCGATATGGAAATCGTGTCCTATCTTGTCGATTCTTCAATTTTCCTCTTCTTTTTTTGCGGTCGATTAATTTTATGAGAATAATTTATTCGTAAAAAAAAGCGCTCTATCGATATGATATAAAATGATGGCGCAGTTAAGTGCTCTCGACCACACTACCAGCGCATCTGTCTATAAATAGCAACTCGGGATGCAGGGGTGATATAGGTCGCACGGGGCTGCGCGATAGACTGCGAGTCGCCGTTGCTTCTCCCACCCCATTCATATATACACGGAGAATAATCTATTTGAAGTAGCCGATTCATATCTACCATTCAAAAGGCTGCAGCAGCAAACACGATCAAACACATTTATTCTTTCATTTTTCAAGTGGACGTTTATGACTATATGTTTCGCGATGACGAATTTGTGTTTTTCTGATTTCGCTCAAGTGTATTTTCCAAGACATTTCCGAGACATGCCGAAACGTCATAAATGATATCCAGAGCATGCGTATACACTCCGTGTAAATCTTGTGAAACAAATTTTTGAATGAATAATGTACGAGCTTATGTTCTAAAAACGTCTACGAGTTATATTAAAGAATCACTCGTAACAATATTATGTTTTTGTTTCAGTTGTCTTTGTCAAGGAGATATAATAGCAAATAATCTTCTATGCAAAGCTACTTACTACTTTGTCCTAGTTTATTCCGCTATCCGTAACTTTTACTTAAAGAAGAGGAAAAGAATTGCAATCTACGATTCAAAAATAGATAGAAAAGAATATTTATTCTTTTACTTTAAAATCGCAAAATAAGTTAGAAAATTGTACTAGAATACTGATATAATTCTCTTCTACAGAAATTATATTTATATATCAAGAGAGTTTTATATCCTCACGTAAAATTAAATACATTAAATAGCCTTCTTAATTTTTTTTCCGATAAATTTTACAAGCGCCAAATGTAAAAAACAGGAAGATCTTCGTCTGAATCTAATCTCTCTCCTCTCTCTCTCTTCTAGATTATTCAAAATGGAGTTATTTAATTTGATTAGAAAGAAGATTAAAAGTCGATAAAAAGGAAAAGATCTTGATAGTCACAATTTTATTTTCTTATTATTTCGAAGCCTAGTAAACTCGTTATCCTGCAGAGTAAATTGCCAATTACTTCATTAATTCGCTTATTTTACCCGACTTATTCGTACTTGACGCATGCACGTTTCCGTGCGACACGAGTTCGCACGTGTGTTTATAAGATCAATCGTCAAACGACGTTGGTCCCCACGCGATTGAGAGAACCTGTGGTTCTGACATTTATGTGGAATGCGTGAGAAACCGAGCAAGGACACGAGCATCGATTCTGACCCAACAACCATCCGCCAAGCCCCGCCTAAACTCACCCTTGCTTTCCCCAGCCCTCTCCTATGGTTTTCGAACGATGGTTCCTCTATACGTTGCCGAATTCTCGCGGTCGCCTGCTCACGAATGCTTTGCGATCTTGTATAAACCGAGGTATTAGGGTCACTCGCGGCTCTATGCACACAGAGAAGCAAGTTTAGGATATTAACGAAGCTTTGAGTTCATAAAGTGAACTAATATGCGAAACAGATTGGAGATGAATCAAGTTAAGATGTACGGAGAACGTTTAAAATCTCCTGATATATAATTTGAATATTAATTGAAAGAAAAATAAATTATACACCACTTCTTGAACGAATTAGAAAATTTAATCAGCTAAAGATATTTTCCAAGGGTAACTTGAGTTTTGCTTATATTATGTAAATATAATAATAATTTAATTTATAAACAATTCAATCTCGTGCAACTTTAATCACGTAAAGTATTAGGATAAATAACAACGTTAAGGCGAAATAATAAATCCTCATTTAGTAAGCAAATTTGTTCCCTTCCAGAAACTTGAGCAAGACGATGACGACGAGTATCTCGACTCCCCCTGGGCCGACAGCGGCAGTCTGAAGCGACATTTTCAAGGTCTGAATAATATTTCGTGGAGACCACACTGAGCGATTTTCATATATCGCTTTCGTAATAAAAAGAAACCAAGATGTTACAAGACTTGGCTAAAAAGAAGCTGCATCGACCGAGGGAAGAGCCAAGCTTACCTTTCTCTCTCAGGATCGAATTAAAAATATTCACCCTCGCGATTCATGGAGTGAACCAGAGGCACACTCGGTATCCCGAGCACAACTCGAATCGTACGCGAATACACGGTGATTATAGAGGAAAAATCTTGATAAATCTGCCATTATCTCTCTCTTTCTCTCTATTATAAATCTGTCCTCGATTAACAAAAAAAAAAAAAGAGCGCCGATTACACCTACAGATATTACACGACGATATTTTGCGACGAACTTTTTCGTATTCGATATAATAGCTCAATTGCGTCAAGCCGCGCATGTATATCGTATATAATTCTGTCGCAGCTCGCACACATCCCCAGAGAGAGATATATCTCAATTTCTCGTCGAGAGCGCGTAATCCTCAAGTGCGACGCTTCAATTGCGCCGAAAAAAGTTCTTCGTTTTCTCGCAATGTTAAATTTAAACAATGTTTGGCACGCGGTAAGCCATTTATTCCGCGCGCCGGAATTGATTTACCTCGCACGATGCCTTCTTCGTAGCTTGTCCAAGTGCGGTCCGAAATCAGCTCGCGTATATCTCGTGCCTATCGCATTCCGCAAACACGAAGAATCTGTCCTTACGTCGTATATGCAAGCGCGTTCAGCGTTACATACAGACACACACACACACACACACGATATATTTTTGAGCGATTTTCCACAGTGAGGCGGCAGGTGATCGTCCTGCGTGGAGAGGAAAAATGGATCTGTCATTTTGAAAGCAACACAAGTCCAGAGAAGAAAAATGTTCTATTCTAAAAATTCATGCTACTTCTGAGTAAGAAGAAAAAACAAAGAGATGCGTATATGCGAGAAGATTATAAGTGTTAAAAATTTATATGTATAATATACAGAGTATATATAAAAATTTATAAAAACGACAGATTGTAAATCTGTCTATCTGTGCGAGTCATAAATTTCTAGATTGATCGTACCATTAATCGATTCGATGTCACAAAGTTACGGACGGCTCATGCTTCTCAAAACGACCGATACAAGTTTTTGCAACGAAAGTGCACTCCGAGGACATAAACAGTTCTCTCTCTCTCTCTGGTTCACTCAACGAGACCGAGCGGAGACATCCGGAGAACACAAAGGAAGGAAGAATGACGGGAAGATGCGAGGATCACCCAAACTCGCAGCATCACACGCTATCTGTATATATTAGGGTCACACGAGTTATCTATGGATTAAAAAACTTAATCAGTAAACATTATGAGCTAAACTACCGTTAAACGTTACGAGTATTAATCAGGTAATTTGCTTGCTGTGTGATCATGATGCGTCCACTCTCACCGTGCATCGTAGACACTTTTATCAGACCACGACACATCCGTTCCACTTTTAAACTAAACTTGGCGACACGCTTTTTGCAAGTATAAAAAAAAACGCGCGATTCGCAAGAGTCCACCCCCGCACCCCGTTGCGGCCTCGTCCATATATATATATATATATATATATATATATATATATATATACTATGATCTCCACACGCACAAATTCCAACGTTTTTTCAGGTACCTGACTGACACACGCTCGAAGAAACGTAGGTACCACTTTGCGAGTCTTACGACTGCTATATATAACATGTGCATATGCGCGTTTAAATCGATACGAGTACACACAAGGCGAAAAGCATTCGGTATACAGATACAACAATAAAAAAAAAAAAGAGGAATAAACTTCAGCGAGCCAACTTCCAGAGATACTTGTTTTTAGATGCGCTCAGTTACTGCTTTTTGCATATTCAATAAGATAAATTATGTGCAATTCTTCTATTTCTTTATCTAGACGAGGCAAGAGAAGAAAAGTCGAGAATTAGTTAAAAAGGAAACTGTGTATCGTCACCTAAATCTTTTCAATATCATTTGTTGTTTTGATACTTTGACATATATTTACAAGATTAAACTCTGATTGCACGCATAATTAAATTGATAGTCTCTCGAGGGGATGAAACTTATTTGAGCCCAGTGGTTTATAAATCACGCTCTCGATCAATTGTAATGAGCTTCGTGCTAGTCTTCAGACTTTAAAGAATATAAAGAACGGCTTATCTTATTATCATCTCAATGTTAACCGCGAATTATAATTACTAATTAGCTGTACGCTGCGTACCGACCAAACGTTTGCTGCATGGAAGCTGAATTTAGAAATAACAGTATTATTTCAATATATCAAAGTATATATATATACATATATTTATATTCCATTATAATCGTTTGTAGAAATATTGAATGCTTCATTAAAAAGAGGAAATTATTTGCGATTATTTACGACGTCTGGAACTCTCGCGATTGAAAATGTTGATGTTCCATGCGGCATTAAACTGACCGAGATGTAAAAGAAAAACAAACAAGAAATCACATGTAATAACGCTCAATATCGATTCACGTTTCTGGAATTCGTGCTATTTCTGCAATCATATACACACATACACACACACACATATATATATACATGATACATACCATCACGAAAAGCACATTCTACACACATCGATAATCTATGAAAAAAAAGATAATTGAATTGTTTTTATGGATTAAGAACAAGTTGTCTGTGATCTACAATAATTAAAAGAATATTTAATAAGTATTAACAGATACAAAAGTATAATTGATATAAAATGTCGATAAAATGTTGAACGAGAATATATGAGAGAAAGAAAATAAAATAATCGAATGATCAGATTTTATTGGTACAAGTTAAGCGCAAAGGTTTCTCGAAGCATTGGTAGAGCAATACGATAGCTAAAAGAGAGAAGTAAAAATATCGTATAAAAAATTAAAGTCACTGCAAAAGAGAATTCTAGAAAAAGACGTATATTATATCAGTGCTCGGAATTAGTTGCTCTTTTCGAGCCGATTTTGCGAGCGACGGGGCGGGTTCCCCCACTACCGTCGAGACTCGACGGCGGAGTCGTCGTCACTCCGGGCAACGCTATATCTCAGGAGCGTCGCTAAACATATTAAGTGGTGCCTTCCGCCAAATCGTCATTATTATTACATTATTTTATTTTTGTTAAATAATAACTGAATATTAACATTTTTTATTATTAATGTAATTATAAATGTAATCTATATTGTTCATAGATTCATGTATATATATTGTATACGTATATATGTTATAGATTACATTTATAATTATATTAATAATAGAAATAATATAAATATTAAAAATAATATTTAATAATTATAATCTTACACAACAATAGTTTTCTACATCACCCGTGAGGTACTATTGCAGATGCGTTTTTTCATAGTGGTTTCCCCAGTAGGCCTATTCCACTGAAAATAATAAAAAGTGCGGTGGCTTGGCAGAAAAACAATATTATGAGAAAATAGAAAGAAAATAATTAAAAAATAAGAATTTTATTTAGATTTTCTGGGTCGTTTACACGATTCTACTAGAGATGGGATATCTACAAAAATTTTAGAAGAATTAATTCGCATCAGCGAGGATAATGATGCGTCGCTTAAGAAGGAACGTTTTTCAGTTTTAATTATTTTCATTTTGGAAAAAGAACATTCGCATAAATATGTGGACCCAAACATGGAGAAAATTCGAAGACCGAAATTTCTAAGATGTGGATAATATGACACATCTAATAATTTGAAGAATTCGATTCCTTTTTCTATAATCGCGCCTTTAAAGAAAGATCACACTGCAAATCGCAAAGTTCTGCCTGAAATTCTAGGCTTTGTTCCTCGATTTGCACTGTGAGAGGATTCTCGAAAAGTATTAAATCTTTTCGTAGCATTTCAAGATCTCTGAAACGCGTATCAAATTGATCGATTAAGGATTCGATAATATACATGTGGTTTAAAAATTACAATTTTTGCCGTGTTCTTCAAAGAGAATCTGGCATGAAGGGAAAAAATGCAAATTATTATTTTGTAAATGATTTTTAAATAATAGTAGTTTCCTGCGAAAAGAATCGACATGACTAACTAATTGTGAAATAATTTGATCGGTCTTTTGCAGCTTTAAATTTAAAATATTCAAGTAGTTTGTCATGTCGGTTATTAGAGCAAGTTTGCAAAGCGAGTTACAATCTTCAAAAAAAATTTAAATTCTTTATATTTTGCTGAACATTGTTCTTGTAAAAAAAGGAAGATCTCTTTTCTCAATGCAAAGAACTTTTCTAAACATTTTCCTGCACTAAGCCACCGAACTTCGCAATGCAGAGGCACATCTGTATATGTTGCGTTATGTTCCTCGAGAAAGAGTTGAAATTTCCGATGAGATAGGAATTTATGACCGCCTTTAATTGTATTAACAATTTTTGTGACGGTTTGCATGACATTGCATAATTTCACAACTTTCCCACATAACGCTTCTTGATGTATAATACAATGTATAACAGGGATATTTAAATTTTGCTGCTTTAATTGACCGAAGAATCCATTTTTGGAACCTATCATTGCTTTTGCGCCATCCGTTACGATAGCTGAACATTTAGAAAAATCTATATTAAATTTCTCAAGGGTTTGGCTAACAGCTTTGAAAATATCAACGCCTGTCGTTCTATTATGTAATGAGATAAAATCTAAGAGCTCCTCAACACATGAAAAATCGTTTTGCACGACTCGAACAAAAATGCTCAATTGACTTATATGCCGATTATCGGTACTCTCATCAAGGCATAATGAAAAATAGCAACAAGATTTTAATAAAAATTTTAATTTTTGCTCTAAAAAAGAAGCTATATCTTTTACGCGGGATTTTACTGTTTTATCACTTAAAGGAATGGCAGCAGCTTCCTCAAGAGTCAAAGAATTTCCAAACGACTCTACTGCTGCGATGAGGCATTCCATTATAAATTTTCCTTCGCTAAACGATTTCGAATTTTTTGCGATTAAATTTGAAATCGCATACGACGCTGTCACAGCTTTTACTAAAGATGTAGTATTTTCCGTATAATCCTTGGAACTACAACCTTCTTGATAAACTAATTTTAAACCTTCAATTAAATTATGTTTCTTCTCGTCCACATATTGCGAATATTCATTAAAGTGTTTAACTTTGTAATGTCTCTGAAGATTAAATTTTTTTATAATATTTGGTTGATAACCACACAGAAGATAGGTGGTTTTATTACAAATGGAAGCGAAAAACATTTCCTTCCATGTCTTATCAAAATTTTGCACATACCTTTGCTGACTTTGCTCCATTCTTGTAATAAAAATTGTCGAGGCCCAGAAAAAATCCAGAGGAAATCTTGTCTTTTAAATCGCCCTTTAAATGTGACGTCCACGGAAGCGTCTCGCAGAGTGAGACTCGCTGATTGTCGAAAAACAAATAAAGACAAACAATTATCTCTTTATTTGTATTCATCTGCGTAAATGATATAGCTTCTTTTTTAGAGCAAAAATTAAAATTTTTATTAAAATCTTGTTGCTATTTTTCATTATGCCTTGATGAGAGCACCGATAATCGGCATATAAGTCAATTGAGCATTTTTGTTCGAGTCGTGCAAAACGATTTTTCATGTGTCGAGGAGCTCTTAGATTTTATCTCATTACATAATAGAACGACAGGCGTTGATATTTTCAAAGCTGTTAGCCAAACCCTTGAGAAATTTAATATAGATTTTTCTAAATGTTCAGCTATCGTAATGGATGGCGCAAAAGCAATGATAGGTTCCAAAAATGGATTCTTCGGCCAATTAAAGCAGCGAAATTTAAATATCCCTGTTATACATTGTATTATACATCAAGAAGCGTTATGTGGGAAAGTTGTGAAATTATGCAATGCCATGCAAACCGTCACAAAAATTGTTAATACAATTAAAGGCGGTCATAAATTCCTATCTCATCGGAAATTTCAACTCTTTCTCGAGGAACATAACGCAACATATACAGATGCGCCTCTGCATTGCGAAGTTCGGTGGCTTAGTGCAGGAAAATGTTTAGAAAAGTTCTTTGCATTGAGAAAAGAGATCTTCCTTTTCTTACAAGAACAATGTTCAGCAAAATATGAAGAATTTAAATTTTTTTTCGAAGACTCGCTTTGCGAACTTGCTCTAATAACCGACATGACAAACTACTTGAATATTTTAAATTTAAAGCTGCAAAAGACCGATCAAATTATTTCACAATTAGTTAGTCATGTCGATTCTTTTCGCAGGAAACTGCTATTATTTAAAAATCATTTACAAAATAATATTGCATTTTTTCCCTTCATGCCAGATTCTCTTTGAAGACCACATATATATTATCGAATCCTTAATCGATCAATTTGATACGCGTTTCAGAGATCTTGAAATGCTACGAAAAGATTTAATACTTTTCGAGAATCCTCTCACAGTGCAAATCGAGGAACAAAGCCTAGAATTTCAGGCAGAACTTTGCGATTTGCAGTGTGATCTTTCTTTAAAGGCGCGATTATAGAAAAAGGAATCGAATTCTTCAAATTATTAGATGTGTCATATTATCCACATCTTAGAAATTTCGGTCTTCGAATTTTCTCCATGTTTGGGTCCACATATTTATGCGAATGTTCTTTTTCCAAAATGAAAATAATTAAAACTGAAAAACGTTCCTCCTTAAGCGACGCATCATTATCCTCACTGATGCGAATTAATTCTTCTAAAATTTTTGTGGATATCATCCCTAGTAGAATCGTATAAACGACCCAGAAAATCTAAATAAAGTTCTTATTTTTTAATTATTTTCTTTCTATTTTCTCATAATATTGTTTTTCTGCCAAGCCACCGCACTTTTTATTATTTTCAGTGGAATAGGCCTACTGGGGAAACCACTATGAAAAAAACGCATCTGCAATAGTACCTCACGGGTGATGTGGAAAACTATTGTTGTGTAAGATTATAATTATTAAATATTATTTTTAATATTTATATTATTTCTATTATTAATATAATTATAAATGTAATCTATAACATATATACGTATACAATATATATACATGTATCTATGAACAATATAGATTACATTTATAATTACATTAATAATAAAAATGTTAATATTCAGTTATTATTTAACAAAAATATAAATAATGTAATAATAATGACGATTTGGCGGAAGGCACAACTTAATATGTTTAGCGACGCTCCTGAGATATAGCGTTGCCCGGAGTGACGACGACTCCGCCGTCGAGTTTCGACGGTAGTGGGGGAACCCGCCCCGTCGCTCGCGAAATCGGCTCGAAAAGAGCAACTAATTCCGAGCACTGGTATAGACATACAACTCGTTAAATTTTTCTATATTTAAACACATATTTCATTGGCTGATACATCAGAAAAATCCCGAAGATTACTGAAAGTAAATCAGATCATCTTAAGCACTAACTTCAGTAAAAAAAGAGCTTATTTCTTTATGAAGATCGTTTCACTTTAATTAAAACTATGAATACATGAAGTCTCAAGTTATACTTATACAAACAAGACGATCTTAATCAAGAAAATCTTAAGGCGATGTTTAAGCTTGGACTTATGAATACCGTTCAAAGTCAACTCTCTAAAATTTGTCTATTTTTTTGGATATTTTTTTTATTCCTTTGATTATTTTAAAATGTGTATTGTATAAGAAAATTGTACTGATTTATTTGATAACTTTTAGGTATACTGTACTCGATATATTACATTTGTCAAAAGTATCAAGTTATTTTACGTTTATTGATAGAATTTTTGTGAAATAGATATAATATATAATGACTTTAGCATGTCTCTCTCCAGATATAAGAAAATATCTCAAGTGAGAAGAAACTACTTCTAAAATATTATTCAGGGTAATAAAAGTTTTTATTGAAAAATATAATTAAAAAGAAATATTGTGTTATGAGCAATAAGAATAGTAATATTAATTTGTTGTATAAAATATTATAATCCTTTTAAGGTTGATTACGATAGTGACAGCAAAAAGAGAGTTAGAAAGAAAAAAGTTATTGTGTAATCGGCGCGCGGAAAGTCGCCCTTTGATGGGATTTTAGAAAGACTCTTTCCACGCACAGTGTTCCGGATTAAAATAGGGGGTAATTAATGGACTGTTAAGAAAATAAAACAGAATAAATTAGTTGCCAGAAAACCTCTAGTTATTAAGACCTTCGTACACAAGTACAAACATAGATAAGTTCAAAAAAAAGGAAACATGAATAACTCATAATCATACTGACAAATATCACATATTAATTCAATTAAACATCATATGCGGAGATAATTAATATGCATATAATATAGCAGAATAAAAAGAAATCGCTAAATATAATGACTAAATAATATCACATCATAGAATAGAAAGAAAAGAACTTAATATAATTATTCAATCGATTGACTTTGCAACATTTCAAATGACTTCAATTTCAGAAAACGGATATAATAGATTATTGGTTTAGAATAAAACACATATATACATATACAGTAACGCTCAATGAATATTAATGAATAAGATATAGAAATCATAAATCATTAGTTAAATGTATCACATAGAATATCTTAATGACATACATTAACTCGTTAAAGTAATCAAACATAAATATATTAAATCTTTTATAACCATATAGGTTTAGTACAACAAATCATATATAAATATCTTGAGTATCGGATAAACCTCTAGACTCAGTACAATAAATCAAATATAGCATCATATCTTATGAACTCAGAAAAGTAACTCAAATATAACATCTTATCTTGTAAACTAAAAAAAGTAACTCAAATATGACATCGTATCTTGTAAACTAAGAAAAGTAACTCAAATATGACATCGTATCTTAAAACTCAGAACAGTAACTTAAATATAACATTGTATCTTGTAAACTCAGAAAAGTAACATTATTAAATACAGTTATAAGAATCCTGGCGAGGCCAGTCTTTGTAAAAATAGTTAGGCAACGTCAAACTATGCACACAGGGCGAAGCCCACTCTTGTGTGAATACTGGCGAAGCAAATCTTTATCAGAATAGTTAGACAACGTCAAACTATGTACACAGGGCGAAGCCCACTCTTGTGTGAATACTGGCGAAGCCAGTCTTTATCAGAATAGTTAGACAACGTCAAACTATGTACACAGGGCGAAGCCCACTCTTGTGTGAATACTGGCTAAGCAAGTCTTTATCAGAATAGTTAGACAACGTCAAACTATGTACACAGGGCGAAGCCCACGCTTGTGTGAATACTGGCGAAGCCAGTCTTTATCCGAATAGTTAGACAACGTCAAACTATGTACACAGAGCGTAGCCCACTCTTGTGTGAATACTGGCGAAGCCAGTCTTTATCAGATTCATTACCTTAAAGGACTCCCTCGAGATATCATTCCTCAAAACGGTAGTACTTTCCTTTCAGGTAGTATTTGGGCAATCCTTCGTCCACTCCTAAGGTATATTGTCCATCACAAGGTTCGTTGAATATATTCCGGAAAGTCCAAACTCGTTTTCGTCCAATATTCGTCACCCAGATCAAGAATTGATTCAATGCTTCGGACAGCGTCTTTCTTTCTGGAGAGAGTTGAGAACAATGGCCGACTCGTTTCGGCGGGACGACGGAAGAAAGCTCAGCGCCTCAAGCGTTCGTCCCCGGCATTAACGGCCTCTCGCAGCGCCTCCACGTCCGGCGCGCCACGCGTCACCCACGGACACGACAAGACGCACGAATCCGTACATCCGCGAGTTTTCCCAACATTACCGCCCGCCTTCGTTAATTTGGCTTAACGAACAAACCGAGGACTTGTGGTGTATGGGCAATGGGCAGAGTTTTACGATGGGTCGTTTCAAGGTGGTAATCTGCGTCTTCACCGTGACTACTCGAGTATGGCCGTCTGTTCCGGGATGTGTTTCTATGATCCGACCGAGAGGCCATTTAAAGGGTGGATACCTCTCGTCAATAACTAGTACCATGTCTTCGTTCTTCAAAGAAGGTGTTGGATGATTCCATTTCGAAGTGTCGTGGAATCGCTGAAGACATTCTTTAGACCATCGGGACCAGAAGCCTTCCAACATTTGTCGTAACAGTTGCCATCTGGATAAACGTGACATATTAATGTGTTCAAGAGAAGGCTCTGGTAGAACTGTAGGTGCGTGTCCTAGAAGAAAATGTCCAGGTGTCAATGCGGCTAGGTCCTCTGGATCATCAGAAAGGGGAGACAAAGGTCTCGAATTCAGAACCGCTTCGATTTGGATTAATAGGGTTGTCATTTCCTCGAAGGTAAGAAGATGATTGCCAAGGACTCTTTTTAAGTGAAATTTAACCGATTTTACAGCTGCCTCCCACTTGCCACCAAAGTGAGGAGCACTAGGCGGGTTGAAATGCCATTGTGTGCCGTCATTGGCAAGTAAGGAGGCCAACTTCGTATGTTCTTGAGACGCTTCAGAAAGTAACTCTTTTAACTCCGTGTTAGCTCCTATCAAATTAGTGCCGCAATCACTAAACAAGTTAGTGCAGATGCCTCGTCGAGCAGTAAACCTTTTATATGCAGCTACAAAGGCGTCAGCGGAATAATCGGATACTAGCTCGAGATGCGTTGCTGAAGTGGCAAAACAAACAAATACGGCAATGTACGCTTTGTACTGCCGTGCATTTCTTCCTTTCCAGGTCTTGATAAGAAGGGGGCCAGCGTAGTCAATTCCAGTATTGATGAATGGGCGTGAAGTCGGTGTTACTCGTTCAGGGGGGAGCTGTCCCATGAGCTGTTGAGCTCTCTTCTGTCTATATCTCGTGCAAATGACGCAACGCAGGATGAAATTCTTTATAGGCAACCGACCTCCAATAATCCAATAGGAATTTCGAAGGATGGTGGACGTTATTTGTGTGCCTCCGTGACAAGACCTGATATGAGCATCCTTGATAATGAGTTCAGTTAATGGAGATCGTTTCGGTAGGATTAAAAGATGTTTACTTTCCGGAGGTAACGTTGAATTCTGAAGTCGACCGCCCGTTCGTAAGAACCCAGATGAGTCAATGAATGGAGTCAACTTGGTGAGAGAGTTCGACTTGGGAAGAAAACCTCCTAGTGTTAAGAGCTTAATTTCGTGAGCGAAGTGTTGCTGTTGAATGCTGTTGATCCAATAGAGCTTAGCTGACTCCAGTTCAGTCGTGCTGAGTGGCCCTTGGGGATTGATTGGGATCCGTTTAAAACGTCCCACTGCTCTCTTACACACAGCTGTGGTGCGTAAGAGCTTATTAAGATTGGAATATCTGGTTAATAAATTCCATGGGGGTTGAGGCTCACTGGTAATGATTGAGTGAACTTTGTTGGGCCTCTCTTCAAAATTGTCCGAGGTAGCAGTTGAAGGGAAGCAATCAGGCCAACAATCAATTGTTTGTGAGAGCCAGGATGGTCTCTTCCACCAGGTAGTTTGGGACGCGAGTTTCGATGGCGACATGCCTCTAGTGGCGAAATCTGCCGGGTTCTCCTTGCTGGAAACGAATTTCCACTTAGCTTGAGGTAGTATCTCTTGTATTAGAACTACACGATTTTGAATAAAATCTTTCCATCTTGACGGATGGTTTTGAATCCAGGTTAACGTAATGGAAGAGTCCGTCCACAGGTAAATAGGAACGTCTTTCAAATTAAGAACATCACGAACGTGCGTGGTAAGTTTAGTGAGGAGTACTGCTCCTGATAATTCTAATCTGGGAATTGTAAGACGCTTTAAAGGTGCTACCTTCGTTTTCGTGGCGATTAAGCAAACGTTGATTTTCTCTTCAAGGTTCACTGTTCGGAGGTAGATTAATGCTGCGAAGGCTTGAGTAGATGCATCGCAAAATCCGTGCAATTGAATTTGATGATCCGATTTGATGCCAAGCCAACGAGGAATGCTTATGACTTTGAGGTCTTCTAATTCATTAACAAAGGTTATCCATTGATTTGCCAATGGGCTTGGTAAAGACTCATCCCAATTGAGTTTATTTATCCACAATTCTTGTATCAGTATTTTTGCCTTGATGATTACAGGTGAGAGTAATCCGAGTGGATCGAAAAGCTTAGCGATAGTTGATAGTATTGTACGTTTGGTGATGGTGGCTGTGGAAGGTCGATCTATACTAAATTGAAAACAATCAGCAGTAGGTTTCCACTGTAAACCAAGTACTGCAACACAGGAGTCTGAATCAAAAGGTATTGGATTTGGATTACTTAACCGTTCTGATGGAAGATGATGGAGGACATGAGCGTGGTTACTGGACCATTTCTGTAGCGGGAAGCCGCCCGCCTTGCACAACTGGTGAAGTTGATTGATGATCTCGTGAACCTCATCAATTGACTCTGCTCCTCCGAAAATGTCGTCGACATATCGTCCGTGTGTTAGGCAAGGAACTGCTGATGGAAAATTGGTTCCTTCATCTTCAATAAGCTGAGCAATGGTACGAAGAGCTAAATAAGGTGCGCAAATCAATCCATAAGTAACAGTGGTGAGCTCATAAGAGTTGACATCCTCGTCGGAATGCGACCATCGGATGCGTTGAAATCTCCAATCGTCGGGGTGTACTTGAATTTGTCTATACATATTTTCTATATCAACAGAAAAGACGTATCGAAATTGCCGAAACCAAATAAGAACGTTGAACAAATCCACTTGAAGCTTTGGACCTGTGTGCAAGATCTCATTCAGAGAAACTCCCGATGTTGTACGACTCGATCCATTAAAAACTACTCGTAGTTTTGTAGTAGTACTGCTTTCCCTCCACATTCCATGATGAGAAAGATAAAAGTTTGGATGTAAATGTTCTACGTTTATATCGGTTATCAACTTCATGTGCTGGAGGTCTTCATATTCCTTCATAAATTTAAAATAAGTTTCTGAGTATTTTGCGCTCACTTGAAATCGATTTCGAAGAGAATCCATCATTCTTGAAGCTCGGTTATAAGAATTTCCTAGAAGTTGAGGGGGCTTCTTGAAGGGCAAACGTACCACATACCGTCCTTGATCGTTGCGAGTGTGGGTATCTTTGAAGTGGTGCTCACATTGTTGATCTTCCAGGGAAATGTAAGATTCATGGCGTGCAATAATCTCTTCCTGTTGCCAGAATCGGTGGAGAAGGTCATATAATCGGGAGTCCATTGAAATATGGTAACTTCGTATAGTACGATGCGTGGATTCTGATGAAGCGGGGCCGGAGAGGATCCAACCAAACGATGTTAATTGGGCAATAGGCGTCTTCGGCGGACCCTTTATTAATCCGTCCTTGATGATCTGAGAATAAAGATTTGACCCAATAATTAAAACAATCGAACTGGGCGTTCCATAATGAGGATCAGCTAACAGCAATCCATCTAGATGTGACCAGGATTCTCCGGTGATCTCATTTGAAGGGATCGAGCTTGTTAGTTTAGGGAGAATATGCGTTGAAATGTGGAATTCTTCTGACCGATCATGGAGAGAAATAATCTTGAAAGAAGTGATGCCACGAGTCTTGTTCGTAGAACGTTCCCCGACTCCTATCAGGGGGATACTTGACTGAGAGCGAGGAAGTTTGAGAGCTTGGACAATTTTTCCGAAATGATATTGATTTCCGATCCCTGATCTATAAGAGCTTTGATTTTCATGATGCGTCCATTTTCGTTGGCAATGAACATTTGAGCGGTGGCGAGAAGAATGCACATGGACGCCAGACTAGAATGTACGGCTGCATGCAATACTTGCGAGGGAGTCGTCTTGACTGAGGTTTCGGTAGATGATTTAGCAGGTGGGTGTTCAGTTTGACTCTCAGTCTTGGAAGGAATTCTTCGGTGAATTGTAGTATGGTGTTTTTTACCACATTTAAGACATCGCCGAGTTGATGGACATTTTGAAACTCGATGTTTACCCAAACAATTGTAGCATAGTCCGTGCTTTATGATGAGAGAATATCGTTGTGGCGTAGTTTGCAAGGTGTATTGCGGACAGGCGCTTAAGAAATGTTTAGCTGAGCACAAGATACATGAGGAAGGTGATGAGCTATCGGGTTTCTTTTGAATTTGGTGATAGGCCTTAACGGCATGCGATGATATCTTCTTTTTTGTTGGTACGTTTTGAGTGTTCAAAGGCCTGCAAAGAGAGGAGGCGAGTAACAAGAAACTCACATAAATGTCTCCAAGTCGGAGGCTCTTTTGTGGAACCGAGATGCTGCTCCCATACTTTCACGGATTCGGCATCCAGCCTTTGAACGGTTAGGAACACTAGAAAATCATCCCAATGTTCAACTGGGCGTTGTAGAGTCTCCAATGCACGATAGATTTGCATTATATTAGTGTACAAACGCTCGAGTTCACTGGAGGACTCCTTAGTGATCTTCTTGAGGGAAAGTAACGATTGAATTGCTGAATTCACAAGTAATTGTTTATTTTCATAGAACGAAATCAGATCGGTCCAGGCCTTTTGAAAATTATCCGCAGTAAGAGCCGTATTCTTGAGAAGATGAGCTGCAGTGCCCGTTAAACTGGCCTTTAAATACTGCAACTTTTCAACCGGGCTGAGGCTTGCATTTCCGATAATGATAGAAGAAAATAGGTCCTTGAAGGACATCCATTCAGAAGCGTTTCCGCTGAATTTCGGCAGGTCGATTCGAGGGAGTCTTGTGTGATGAGAAACAGCCAGTTGATTAGATACAGGTTGAAAGAAAGATTGGGTTGAAGATGTCCTTGGAAGAATAAGTTCCGAATCGAGATAAGCATTCATCTTGTCTAGAGAATCCAGGTATCTCTTATACGTTCGAGCATAGAAATCATCTTCAAAATAAGTGTGGTCTCGAATCAACTCCTTGTCTTCTGTACTGAGCTGACGAACAGCTACAATAATAGCTTCATGAAAAATAGAGAATTTTTCCCAATTCTCATTTAAAGCTGTAACACGAGCTTTAATCAACCTTGAAGTGATGTCATTTGTTGGAATCTTGTTGAAGCTTTCAATCGCTTGAAAAATTAAGGCACTCAAAGAAATCTGCTGTTCGATGCGATTCTCCACGTGAGAAATCCTCATGATGCTTGATGATGGATTTTCCGGTGGTATTAATCCTTTGATTGTAATTTCAACTTAAAATAAACAATCCAGCTTACATAAATATCCGGCTCGAAGGATCAAAATGTTCCGGATTAAAATAGGGAGTAATTAATGGACTGTTAAGAAAATAAAACAGAATAAATTAGTTGCCAGAAAACCTCTAGTTATTAAGACCTTCGTACACAAGTACAAACATAGATAAGTTCAAAAAAAAGGAAACATGAATAACTCATAATCATACTGACAAATATCACATATTAATTCAATTAAACATCATATGCGGAGATAATTAATATGCATATAATATAGCAGAATAAAAAGAAATCGCTAAATATAATAACTAAATAATATCACATCATAGAATAAAAAGAAAAGAACTTAATATAATTATTCAATCGATTGACTCCGCAACATTTCAAATGACTTCAATTTCAGAAAACGGATATAATAGATTATTGGTTCAGAATAAAACACATATATACATATACAGTAACGCTCAATGAATATTAATGAATAAGATATAGAAATCATAAATCATTAGTTAAATGTATCACATAAAATATCTTAATGACATACATTAACTCGTTAAAGTAATCAAACATAAATATATTAAATCTTTTATAACCATATAGGTTTAGTACAACAAATCATATATAAATATCTTGAGTATCGGATAAACCTCTAGACTCAGTACAATAAATCAAATATAGCATCATATCTTATAAACTCAGAAAAATAACTCAAATATAACATCTTATCTTGTAAACTCAAAAAAGTAACTCAAATATGACATCGTATCTTGTAAACTAAGAAAAGTAACTCAAATATGACATCGTATCTTAAAACTCAGAACAGTAACTTAAATATAACATATCTTGTAAACTCAGAAAAGTAACATTATTAAATACAGTTATAAGAATCCTGGCGAGGCCAGTCTTTGTAAAAATAGTTAGGCTGTGACCGAACGGGAATCAGGGTTGGTATCCCTCGCCTCGATTTAGCGGTCTCCAGACGCCCCGCTTTCACCTTTATGGTCGCCACTTGCTTTGACCTTATAAGCAAGAAGGTATCGTGTGTCGATGATGTCCCTTTGTGCCAAGGATGATAGGAAACGGTGCCGCTCCTTTGTCCTTTGTGATGGCTGCCGCGCCGCCTTTGAAGATGGCCGCCGCTGTCGCGCAGAACGAAACTGCGTCTGACGATTGCGAACAATGAAATGTCGCAGGGAATCGACTTATCCTTGATCTCTCCTTGTTCGCAGGTTACCGATGGATGTCTACGACGCCCTGAAGGATTCACACCTGGAGGATGATCAGCGTGGGAAACGGAATACGTGGGTAAGTATTAATCACTGTGGTTTTAGGTTTCACTAAAGAGGTTTATTTCTCAGTGTCCTCAGCTTCGTCTCAATACAACCAAACACGGTTTACAAACGTTTTGAGTCCGCACGCGGGATAAACGCTTTGATTTACATTAGGCGTTACTAATGTTACAGAACAAACACTCGCGATTATTGTCGCTTGTAATACGCGTCGTATTACCTATGAGGGTTCGCGTTTGAACTGTCTCCTTGTTTTACGAGACTAGAGTTCGTCTCGGACGAATCGAACCCCCCAACTATCACGAGAAGAGTGTAAGCCCGACTCTCACTTCGAACTTGTCGATCCCGCAAAGAGTATAAGCTCGACTGTGTCGAGTGATGGTCGCTCGCGCCTTATATATTGTTTCCGTGCGCTCGCCCCTCTCTTAGCCCGCTGGCCAATCAGAGCGCGCCGCCCCACCGCGGAGCCTCGGACGAATCGCCGCGCTAGGCTGTAAGGTAGGTTGCGCGAGAGTTGTTATTTTCGCATTTTCCGAGTATAAAGCTAACTCGACTAGAGTTCCTCTTTTTAATTAAAATGATATTATTCGGCTATGATTGATTATCGGTTAACGGTGTTACTCATAGCCGTATTATAACAAAAATACTATAAAATAATATAAATTAACATAACTTAAAATGTTTATCATTATTTTAAAAATATAATCATATCTTGACAACGTGGGTCGCGTCGAGTCGTTGGATTTATATAATAAAAATCAACCTCTTGATTTTAATTAATTCTATAAACTAAAAATAAAAGAAAATAAACTTATCACACTGATTGGAGTGCACGTATTGCCAATTTTGGCCTTAGCTCGAATCACGATGTCAAGACAAGTTGCTGTACATACTTATCCTAATAAAACTATATATTTGTCAAAAGTAAGATTATATATAAGACTTATACTTAGTAATCTTTTTGTTTGATGTAACGGGTGTCGGACGATGCATGGATCACAATTACCCAGAGCCGGATGCTAGGCTTCTGTTTGCATGCTAGATGATTTTATCTCTGATCACGTTGAGTCTCTGATCTCGGTTTTTACCAAATTGTGTTAGACACTTACATTATCTTTTAGATGACTTAGAGATTCCTTAATGATCTGATTCTAAACAAATCATTGATCCAGATGCTTTGGTATCGTCAGACATCCGCTAGATCCTTTTTTGTTTTTAGATTATTTTTATTTATCGTTTTATCCTTTAACGCATATTATAAAAAGTATTTAAATAGTAAAATATGTCCATGTCAGGATGTTATCTGACTCTATCGCGATTTATTGATTTTACCCATTATGTGAGTTGGAGTAGTAGTATTGATTGATTTGCACTCATAATCACTCTCTAGAAGATTTTACATGAGATTTAGGTTTGTAACTTAGATTAAATGCTGAGATGCTACTTATAGCATTTATTGCTTCGTATGTTGATCTCGAGTGCAGATCCATCAATATCCTTGCTCCATCGATGTGTTGGGTAAATATCTATCCTGGACGATTATAACTTAATCTAACTTATATCTACTAACCTTTTATATACATCTATGTACATAACTTTAGGAGTTTTTACTCCTGACTAGGTGGGATGCTCGTTGTTGACCCAACGTCCTTCTTTAGACTCGCCCAAGTCTCCTGGGTACTTATAGGCTGTCCAACGTTACCTTCCGTCGGATGTTCTGGGAAGTGTTGTGGACTGTTGTACGATGTCCCATCTCGTTGTTGTTGGTCCGTTAGTGTCATTGGCGTGAACGGGTTAAGTGCAACCAAGCTTTGAGGATCGCGACTAGTGGTCGGTCGCAAGGCAACGTCACACTATGCACACAGGGCGAAGCCCACTCTTGTGTGAATACTGGCGAAGCAAATCTTTATCAGAATAGTTAGACAACGTCAAACTATGTACACAGGGCGAAGCCCACTCTTGTGTGAATACTGGCGAAGCCAGTCTTTATCAGAATAGTTAGACAACGTCAAACTATGTTGCGACCGTCTCTCCGTCCTCTCTCGCCAAACGAGAGAGAGAGAGAGTGCGAGAGAGACCGCTGCGCAACCTCGTCGTGCTGCTCCCCGTTCTCTCAATACTTGCTCGGTATCACTGATTGCTCGGTATCATATCTTTTGGGCGCCAGGTGCGGTCAGGCCGCACCACTCAACAATATCTCAGCAATAATCAGCGGACACGACGGCTCGGCCTCGGTAGCTCGGTATCAACAGGGGGTAGAGTGTCGTGGTTCTTTCCGTAAGAAGATTCGGAATCGCCGTCTCGGAGAGAGAGAGGGAATCTCGATATTAATTGTACTCAGAAATAAGATAAAATAAGAATATATTTTCAGTTAGTAGTATATAGATAGAGTGAATAAAAGTAACTATAATATTATTATCGAGCCGTAGGGAGATGCTGTGTTTTATTGAAATCTCTAGTTATTATTACTCTCCTCCCTTTGTATCCGGCTCGGAATCGAATAGATCATACACTAATCCAGCGTAACTTATTCTCAAGGATTGTTAATCAATGACTCGATACAATGCTACAATTACAATATACTACGATGTGACTGTCGACTCGTTTCGGTGCCCCTCGGAGAGGCGAAAAAGGCAAAGATTTACGCAACAACTTAATGACGCGGAAATCGACGCGAGTCCCGTGAGTCTCTCAACTAATTCTTGGTACTAAATTATTTATAGCATAATTGCTCGGTATCGTTACACGTCTCTAATAACTCACGGGTCTCTGCCGAATCCGCGCTTACCGGACGATCGAGGAGGTGGCCTTACAATAGCTCGCCGTCGCAGGTGGTCGCTGTGGGTCGTCGTCCTTGTGTGTGTTCGCAGGACACCGGCTTGCCGAACAGTGATTTCCTTTCGGGCCGGCGGGACCTCGGAAGGTACGCTGGTGGGGAGGGGAAGACAATGCGCGCCACCCCGGCCCGGTTGCCAGGTCTCGCGGCAGCGGTGCGCCCCGCGCCGGACCCGGAATCGATCCTCGTATCGATTCCTGTGTGTCGCGGCTGGTCGCGGACTTCCGCCGCCAAATTCAAATCTCAGCCCTCGGGATCGACGATTCAGCAGGTCCATTCTCGGCGATCCCGTCCACACCTCGTATGGCCGTATGATGATGTTCCGAACGACCTTTATTTGCTGAGGGAAGTCGTCTCGGGGTGATCAGTCCCGTTAGATCTCCGTGTTTCTCTCGATGTGTGGTGGCGGGCCCCTCAGGGGAATCATCCTTGTCGAGGGATGTAGGCGCCTTTTCCTCCCTGTTTTGGGACTGCTCCTGTTCGTCCCATCGAGGCTGTAACAAGTTTATTTGCAGTATCCCTTTCTTATTTTCTCGGTACCGCGTATATTTGATTGTTCTTAATACTCACCGGGCCGGTCGCTCAGTCTCCGCTCCTCCCCTTTCGAGGTCGTTCCTCCGTCGTCTGCCCAGGTCCTCTTTTCCCTAAAACAATGGCCGTTCTCCTGGCCTACCACCTCGATCCCGATACAGAATACGGGCGAGCTAGCGAAAAGGTCGCTGCTCACCCGCACGAAACACAAAATTGTACAGCGCTCTCAGACGCTTCCCGGTCGGGCGTGTCCGCCCTTGTGACGGGCTCAAAAAGACCACGTCACAACTC